GGGGGGGTGGGGGAAGCCGCCATGGCCGTCGAGGGAGCCGCCGCGTCCGCTCCCCCGCCCCGGCCCCGCCGTTGTGCCGCTCCGCCCTGCTTGGCAGAGGGCTACGTGCCAAGGGTTGCTGCCATCCAGTGGAGGCGATTTATTTTAATTTGACTTATTTTTTTAAATATATGTGAGAAATCCCATTGATTTAAGTAAAAGTACCAGTGAGTGAAAAGGTCTGTTTTCAACTCAGGGTCTTACTTTAACCGAGCCTGTTTTACCCAGCTCCCTGGTGCGGTTGTTAACGGGGTGCTCGATCCTCCAATGCAAAACCCGGACCTTTGGGTCGGCTGGGCCCGTTCAAACAAAACGTGTTTTGGAACAGCTAAATTCAAGGTTATGGCCGAGACGGGGCCGTGACCCTCGGTGAGCCCTCGGGGCCCTGGCGGGGAGCAACCCCGTGGAGGCAGCTGCGGCTGAAGCCAGGGCGACCCTGGGTGAAAAAAAGATTTTTTTTGTTTTTTTTTTTTTAGGTAAAAGGGGGAAAACGTCCAGGGGACCAGCTCTCACGCCTGCCGTGGGAGGGGGCGCTTTACCTTCGGCGTTGCCGTTTGGCCAAAAGACTTCGGGTTCAAATAATCGGTGGAAGGGAGTTGCGTGCGGTTGCGTCAGGTGGCGCGACCGCGCTGCCTGCCGCTCGCGGCAAAGAGGCTCCTGCAGCTAAAGCTGAGGAAATCATCAGTTCGACTCCTGTTTCATCAGCAGCGTTTTACCAGTTTGTTTTCAGCACGCCGTTCCCGTTTGAGAGGAAGCTCCGGGGCTGGCTGAGATAACCAGCCTGCTGCTGTCGGCCACCCGAACGCACGAGGCAGCCGGTGACAAACCTTGGTTCACAGCAGCACGCAAACCCCTGTCCAAGACGACGCTGTTGCTCTCTCCAGGCTTTCGTAATTTGTGATTGCAGGATAAATAACTTTTATCGATGCCTTTCAGTACGTCCTTCCAATCTGCTATTCCTCTCTGATTCTCTCCAAAAAAAAAAAAAAAGTTCCCGAAAGGAATCGGTGGTGGATTGAATACAGATTAAAGTGGGGTTGGCGGTTGCCTGGCAGTAGGTGGTGCTGGCTGCAGGTGGTGCTGTTAAACCTGTACTTCGCAAGGATTAAAATCCATCCAGACCTTGGCAGAAATGAAAAATGGCATTCGATATTCATACTGTTACACGCAGGCAAGCAGTACAGAGTGTAATCTCCGCTGTTAGCGTGGTCTAATGGCGTTCGCTGTGCGGCAGCTCAGGTTTGTAGGCGAGACCATCAGGTAATGCATTCTCATCTCTGAGCTGTTACTCAGAAAGGCAGCTGGGATCAATGAGCTGCGCTTGATCGGTGTGTGGCAGATGAAAGCTGAAGGAGGGCGGAAAGACAGAAACACCCACAGGTCCCTGCCAGCGGCAGGCGCGTTGTCTAAAGGATGCGTTTTCGTTGCTTGACTTCTACGCGTTTTTGTGATCGCTGATCTGACTGGAGATCACCCCAGGACAGGAGGCTTCGTTTTCATCTCTCTGCCAAAGTTGTTCTAATTTGCCTCGTGTTTTCCGTTGCTGTTTCAAGTTTGCTGCTTGTGAAAGGCTGTTTTTATTATTTTGGAGGTCGATGGGAAGTGTTTCCCGCATACTACCTTGTGTTTAAAATCTGGAAGCAGATAATAAATGTTTCACGTTTGAGAAGTTCCCCTCCTCCCAGCAGACGCGTGTTCAGTCCCCGCCGGGCGGGTTTTCACCGGGCTTTGCGTCTCCCAAATCCTGCCTCGGGAGTTGCACGTGCGGAGGAGTCGGCCTTCGCTTTGAACGTTTCCCTGGAGCAACGCAGGGCGAGAGCTGCGCAGCGAGTGCGGGGGCTTGCTGAGGTCTCCGATTAATTTTTGTTCTCCTGATGAGCCGTACCGGTCTACGAGCGCTTTAGGAATTAAGGATAACGCGGCCTGGAGCGTGGCCTTTATGTCCTCCTACGGGGGAGTCCGAGGCTATACAGATATGGGAATAACGCTGCGTAGAAACGAACGCACGTCACAGCTGCTGGGAAGAAAATCTGGAATTTTGGAGTTAGAGGCAGGAATCTCCTGACGTTTGTGTGCGGGAGGCGAGGCCGCCGCCG